TCTCTCTGCTAATAGTTGGGAAACTGTTGCAAGTCTTTCCTGCTCTCATCAGACGAGATAACGTGGGTTGTTTGAAAGAGCTTCTCATAAAAATGCACTAGCAGAAACTTTGGTTAAAGGGATCTGAATGTTGGAATAATTATGGTTTTGAGCTATCTATATGTAAGCCATCCTGAAATATTTTGTTAAAACACATATTTTAAAACACATATTTAAAAAAAAAAACAAACACACTTATGTTCCAGTGTACATTTTCAGTAGTATTCACAAGAGATCTGTGCTATACAGTCATGGGCTTGGCGATTTGGGATTTGATGTTTATTGGACAGTTCTCTAGTATTTCTGGCCTCACGTTTTTGTACATAACTATTATTCATTCTGATCCTGAAAGGCAATAGCTAAAGCAGTGGTTTCAAAGCTGGCTTACACATTCCCACCTTATCCCGGGTCCTAACAGCACGTTGGGGGTTCTTCCTCCCTTCAGGGCCAGTGTCCATGTGTCCGCAGGGAGAGTCGGATCCAGGAGCTGTTTTGGCATCCGCGTGGCTCAGATGCGAATACGAGCACAGGAGAGGGGTGTTGATGTGCAGGGGGAGGGAGGAGAAAAACAAGACAGCTGCTTTGGTGGCCGCCCATACTTAGATCATCTTCAAATGATTACGAAACCTCAACCTAAGTTAATTTGCACTTGTGTTTGGATTTCTGTTCTATGTGAGATTCGGAGCTTTGCCTTGTATGAAGTATCTGCCACTGTTCGGTGCTACAGCGCGTTGTTATCCTAAGCCTGTTGTAATTGTTCTGTGGTAATAACAAAGGTGGGAAAAGAAAGAAATAACAACTTGCAAGTGTCAAGTTTTTGTCCTCTCTAATTTTGTGTACAGAATTTGTGGCGTTAGCATGGACTCTGTAGGATATTCAGCAGGCTGGAATGCCACAGCTGCAGACAGCGAGACGTCCTGTGTATAGATTTATAAATGGGCTGTAGGAAAGGCGCAATGCTTTATAGGCACTGTCTGTATTAATCTTTAAGTGTATGATGATCAGATGTCAGTGTGCATTTTGTTAAGACTAAGAACATTTTAGAGAGAAAAAAAAAAACAGGGAAATACAGTAAATGCACACACTCTACATCTGTTTTTCAGAGTGCAGGCAGGTATGCTAAAGCTGCTTCTGCCCTATGTAAAATACCCTTAGTTGCGTGGAACCTGGCAGCCGTGTGGATTATGTTGGTGATCCAGTACAATTCTAACAGTAATCTCCTAGCACCATTACTGCAGTTAGTATACAATTACACTTATTTGGGATGGGGGTTTTTTGGTGCCAAACATTCAAAGCAGAATTGCAGGTTTTGTCAAGGCTCACTTTGACAAAAAGTCACTGTAAATTAAAACTGTTACTTTTATTAATAAAGCAACATAGATTTTGTATAGATATAGCTATACCTAAATATACCTAAATTTCTTATATAAAGAGAGAAAAGGCTATCTGTGTGTCTGCATATATGTGCGTATAGTATTTAGGAGCTGTGGGATTAATGGATATTCCAGTACTTGTGAAGATTTGATACCATATGTAGCATGAAGACAACGATAATGCAGCACTCAGTTGCTATCACTTTTGCTTCCCTTTGCTTCCCAGCCCTGGTGCTTAGACCTGGCAGACTGTGGGTTGTTACCACTATTGATGGTGGTATTGAAGATGAAGACATCTTCATGCTGTTGTGGGTTCCCTTATTTCTCCAGAGGAGTCCATAATCAGTTGCGAGTACATTTGATAGTGATTTCACATCTATCAATTGTTTTGGCGGATGGAAATAACCTAACCTGTTGATATGCTGCTACCTTTTGTATTTCAGCAACGCTATTGGAAACTAAATAATTTTATAAGGCATGCTGTTGGGTAAAACTGGTTATTAGAATAATAATGCTATCAAGCAACCTGTCTTGTATGTAGACAGTTTGCCCTCTCTTTAATATGTCTAATAGTCCATATGCATTAGATACTGAGCACGTTAATATGTAATGGTTCTGGTATAGAATGGGAAGTTTATTTTTCTTATAGACTTAAATAATACAGACATTGTGCATTCTCTGTGCACATGAAATACTGAAAACCTTTTCATCTATCTGCTGGGTCTGAATGTTAAAGTTCTTTCAGCTGGAAATGCAAGACCTAGTCAGTCTACAGAAGCATATATAAACAGTGTTCACAAATTTCAGTGGAGTTAAAAGTGAATCTCAGCATCATTTGGACTGATCTTTTGGCTTATTTGGAAGATTACAATAAAACCCAAGATTGAATTCTCTACCTGAGTCAGTTTCTTATTGATTGAATCCTTTTAGACTCCTCTCTAATTTAACAGTGTATTTTTATTAAAGCCAAGCATACAAACATCAATTATCCAAGCTGCATTTGCTTCAACATTTTTTTTCCTTTTGCTGCCAATGGATTAGAAGACCTGATTAGAATTCCGCTTGAAAGCTGAAAAGCAGATCCTTAAATGAGAATGTCTGCATTAGGAATTAAAATATCTGTACTGGGCATAAAATCCTCCTCCTTATCTCTAATAATGTAAACAGACTTGGTTAAGTTGATCTGTCACATGCCTGGTGCAATGTCCCTGAATTAGGATCATGTATTAGAAAGGGCAGAACAGTGTCTGTGGCTTGTCCTGCTGATAGAATACATCACTAGTATATTTTAACATTAAAGTGCTTTGCATAGATATCTCTACCATAAGGGTTAATGTGATAAGAGTTTGAAGGGCTCGATTTTTTTCATGTGTTTTTACCTCCTGACACCAAGAATGTTTGCATGTGCGCTAGCAGTAGGAGCAAAGCAGAGAAGGGGCCTTCTAAGGTTTCACTGTTGGTAGATTCTACAAAGTTAAGGGTTTTATAACAATGCAAAGGTGAAATAAGTAATTGCAATGTCATCACCAACTTAATATCCAGAAAACCTTAGATGGGCATGCATTTAACATGACATTAGTGTTGGCCCATGTCTAAACTATAAGAAAGAGTTATAAAATCAATTAAATTGTATGTTTTGATTTAACTGGATTATTAATTTCCTTCTGATACCTAGTGTGCTCTGCCTGTGATGAGGAAGCCATGTCGTGAGCCATATGCAGGCTGTTACTGTGCAGGCTCTATGAACTGGAGCAGTTGGTGTCATGTTTACCGAATCATGGTACCTAATTTCAGAGGGAGAAATTTGGATATCAGGATTTTTAAGGGAGTTTATTATTAATTATTGTTCTATTTATATAGCATTAGAGATGTTTTGTGCTTTGAAAATGCACACAAGAATTCTGTTTATAGTATCGGCATGCCCAGAAGAGCAAGCAAATCTTAATTGGATGACTCTTCTGCAAATAACAAGAGGAGAAAAGTAGCAGGGGCAGACAGCATCCTAGCACATCAGCACTGGACAACTAGATGAAAGAGTTGGTGTCTAATAAGCTTGAGAGGAGAAAATGGCGCTGTGTCCCGTATGGTCAGGTGGGAACTGTTCTGGCTACTTTGGGGCGGTGTCATGAGAAGTCTTGGAGCTGGGAGCAGCAGCAGGTGATGAGAGATATGTCAACGAGTTAGTCCCATTGCCATCTTCATTTTATGATTATTCTGCTAGCATTGGAGTTCTATAGTGCAATGTAAATGCAGCATATGTTTACAGTAAGGGATGCTTTTGCAGTCTAGGGTACTGCTGAAGGATACTGGTGAGCTGATTTCATGTGGGAAGCAAAATATTTGTTGAGATCTTTTCTTTTTATTGCTGTGTTGTGGATGGCGTTATTACTAACAGTGGCGAGCTTTCAATCTGTGTGTGTGACTGCACATCACAGGAGTTAATTGTCACGTTTTGTCTGCAGAGAAATATTAAACCTGATTGTGCAGAGCTATAAACGTGCGTGACTGCAGAGAATTTTCTTGGTGCTGGTATGAGTCTGGCTACCTGGAGGTGGGCAAAGTGAATCTGTTCATCTTGTGCAATGAGTTAAGCATAATTGCGGTTGACATCATGCGCAAGTGAAATCCAGTGATATTTCATTCCTTCAAACCTAATCCTCTCTTTATCTTGTCGTCTTGTCGGAGTCAACATGATTCTGGCAAAGCTTGTTTGTGACACCCAGTGAAGCTTATTGTAGAGTACCCTGAATGTTGTGATTAGCCCCGCTACGGGATGAGAAATAGCATAGCTGTATCCATGTGGTGTCCCCCTTGACTTAATAAGCCATGGTGGGAAGCCTGGTATATGAACTTGGGTTCAATATTATACTACCTTACCAAGTGGAAAGAAACCATATTAATATCTTGTATGTATTAATGTCTTGTATGTTGTGAAAGGTAATTTAATTGTGAATTGGGTGCAGGAATTTCAGTTTCCAGAAACTGATAAATAGCATTTTTTTGAGGTTATCAATTAATCTGTTGTAATGCATGTTCTTCATTACATGCCTCTCCTTGTTAATTAGAAAGGATTTTTACTCCTCTTTATCAAGTCAGGGCAAGTATATTATTTTTTCCTCTGTACTGCTTATGATAAAGTGCATATCCAGATTGTTTTGTGAAGTGTCCACATGAATATTTCATTGCATGTGCATCCGCATGTTCATAGACTGTTTTCTGAGCTCCAACCTCTGATGATTATTCAATACATTAAAAAAATCCAAAATATAGATTGTTTAATCTCTTTTTATTTATACTTGTCAGCAGAAATTCCTCTTTTCTGTGTAGTAATGTGTTTGACATTAATTACCATGCCAGTTTAGACCAAGGCAATTAATCACTGCTACACACTACAGAAACAATAGACTCAGAATCAAGTTCTCTGACTACAGAGGTGAAGCTTGTACCTTCCATAAGTGAGAACCTGCCTGACAGAGGGGAATTTGTACCCTCGTTTGGATCTTTTACCTGTGTTTATTTAAAAAACCAAACCAAAACAAAACACAAACAAAACCCCCATCTATTTCCTACTCTGTTTCTTTCCTACAGGTTGAAGCAATACTTGTAAATATTTTTGGAGGGATTGTGAACTGTGCCATTATAGCCAATGGTATTACCAAAGCCTGCCGAGAGCTTGAGCTGAAAGTACCCCTGGTGGTCAGACTGGAAGGTGAGTGCTGATGGTTTCAGACAAAAATCATCCCTCAGGTGCACAGTAACCCACTTTGGCTTTCTTCGATCTCTGAGCTCTAAACAGCTTAGTCCCACACAAGAAGAATATGTCCAGTTCTTCATCCGTAGCATGACCTGAAGTCAATAAACTCTTCCCTTACATATTTCTGTATTCCTGGTCCCCGGTGGTACTTGAAGCAACGAAATTTTACAATGAAAGCATTATGGTTTTGCTTGTAACATTTGCATTGCAAATAGAAATAATTTTGATACAGGTTTCTGTTTACTGCAAGGTATTTCTTTTTCAAATGTTTTTTACTGACTGCAATTCCATTATTGCTAAACCTGTAGCAACATAGAGTTTTCTTAAATTTACTCCAATTCATAATTAAAAGAAAGATGTTAGAAACAGTATTTGTGAGAGAGAGATTACTGTAACGTGTTCTTCTGCCCAAATATGTAATCCAGCTAAAATCCATTAAAACCAGAAGATTCGGTAATGGTAAGGAATATTGGGTTTTTTTTAGTACATCCAGCATTGTTAAACTGGAAACAAAAAAGTAATAGAGAGGTAAGGAAGAGCGCTCTTTGGCAGTTACTGGCTTTAATATAATGGCAGCAGATATGGAGTTCTGTCTCTAATTTCTGCCAAGTACCCTGAAGGAGGAAGGGAAATTATTCTTCAGCCATTGAATGAAAAAGTGCTTTGATTGAAATCGGAACACAACTCTGGTAAGCTTAAAACATTTCTTTTTTGCTAAGTAGGTTTGGAAAATAGAGGATTTTCTGGGTTGTTGGGGGTTTTTTTTAGGGCCTGTTCCTCAAAAAAATCAATATTAATGTCTGGGTGTGTGTAAAGAGCATAAAATGTCCTACTGCTTAGCATTGGTGGTGAAAGGAGGAAAACCATCCCTTTATGCACCTGAGATACAAAATAATAAGGTGTTTTTTAACACTGTGATAGAGGGGAGAGTAAAAAAAGCTCTGAATGCACCAGACTTTTTCCTTTTCAAAAAATAAAGTCACCAGGACTCATGAAGATGCAGGTTTACCCATGAAGCCCTTTGGTTAGGGGTATACTTGTCTTCCATGAGAAAGCAGGGTTTTCCCATCCCTCATTCTCATGCTACGTTACACACGATACGTAGTTCACATCAGGGGAGACCACAGCCTGTGACATGCAATTTTGTCCTGTAAAAGTTCTGCTGTGCATTTTACTGCAGGGTTTGAACATTTTCCAGAGTTCATTCTTGGTTTAACATGGGTAGATTTTTGCTGTGGCAAGTGCAGGAAAATTTAAATACTCTAAAATGGATTTTAGAAACAAATTGTGAAAATTTTCTACGGATGATGCAGCACCACTAAACACCTTAAGAGAGTAAGTAGATAGTTTAATATGGGTGAAGGAGAGACTGATGGATGTTGGTTAGAAGCAGGAAAGTTTCATAATATAAAATCTCATTGTTTATCAGCTCTAGGCAATGTTGTTTAGCTTTTTGTCACAGCAAAAAACTTTTCCTGTCTGTCATAGCTGGGAAAAAGTTTATCTGTCAGATCTGCAAGACTTCTCATCTGTTGTAGCTGTTATTTTTTTAAGTGAAGATACTGGAAAAGCCATTAGTTTTCCTTACGAACAAGATAGTTGCAAGTTGTTTCTATTGCAATATTTGAAACTGGTATAAGAGAAACAAGAAACTCAACTTGCTCATTTTAAACTTCAGTCTGCTAGGTCTGCCACTGGGTTTTCTTGACCTTTCTCCAGTACTTTCAATACTTCCATGATTGTGTGCAAGTAAGGGCGATTTTTTTTTTTTTTTAACGACTTCTGGGAAATTGCAAGAGGCAAAGCAGTTTCCAGGCTGAATAAGGAGAGTCCCAGTGCTCCTGCACTGTGGAGTTTGTCTGGAAAAGAAGGTGTGGAGCAGGAGTGCTTCTGCCTGGGGGTTGCACAAAGCCCTGCAGAGGTGACTGCATGGTGCCTGTTCCTCTTCTGGCTGTGACCTTTATGAGAGTCCTGTGCTGCTTCATCCACAGGGGCCAAAGCTGAATCTTCAGAATGTCTAACACAAATTTTAATGCAAACATCTTGGTTATCTTCCGATGGTTGCTTACTCTTTACTAGGTTTGTAATAATGCTTCTCTGAGGCTAGTTGCTGACTCCAGAGGTGGGGATACCACGTGTTCTTTAGGAAACTCTGTCCTGGTATAATACAGCAAACTCTCCCTTTTGTGTAATATTCATGTCAGAAGTTTTTTAATTCCTTCTCTTATTTTTAGTGTTACCCATCAATTCATCCTAAACAAAGAGCTATGATGTTTACAGCCTTCAGATGTTGTACTTAGGAATGGTTAGTTTGTAACTCATGCTTTCTCTGCCTCCTTAATCACCCAACCAAGCAATACCTATATGTATATATATACACACACACATATATTTGGGTTTTTTAATCTTTCCTCAGAAATCAATCCTTAATCATTTTCATTTTTCTTCTTTGAACTCATAACAGGTTATCCAAACATACAAGGATTTTGAATTAATAATGAGCACTATGGAAGTAATAAGGCTACCCAAGACTTTTTAAAACATCACCAATAACGTTTTACACTTCAAAAGGAGGAAAAGGGACAAGGACTTCTTTGGATTTCCATTTTGAACATTTTTCCAACAGAACGTTCATTATTTATTCCCATAAATCTAACAGATTTGTGACCTGCACTTTAAAGGCTCTTTGCCTGCTTGCACTGTATCACAAATGTCTCGATGACTAGAGTTTTAATCAGTCAAATCTGTCTTGATTTAGCAGTATTCTGTGAACAGATCTTTGTTCTCAGTTGTATAATAATTACAAGCTGTTTTACCAGTGGATAAAGAAAGGATTACTCTCCTCTTTGAAAATGGTAACTTTATAATTACATGTATTTACTTGCCTTATCAGTAAAGAACTCACCAGCTGAGACACAGGGTTATTGTTGTTTAAAAAGCTCATGGACAAATGGAGAAACCACATATTCCAAATTTTATCTTTTACAGATGTAGAAAACTATCTTCTGCTGGGTTTATGCAGCATTTTTTTCCTCTTCAAAGTGTAATGTACTTCAGTTAAGTTTTGTGAAAACTAACTAGGAGCGCTGAATGGAAGCCAAACCTTGTTTCTCATTTATGTAGCTTAGAGTGAGATGCAAAGAGGAAAGAATAAAATAGAATTGTGAATTAGATGTCCTCTTCCTGTGCTAGAAATTTTACATTCTCTCTCTTTCAACAAATTAATTCTCTGCTTCTGTGGTCATAGGACAAGAAGAATTGGGAGGAATTAGAACCACTTAATATGTTCAAACACAGCTAGAAGCAAGTTGGCTTTTATTCAAATGTCCGAATCCAAAATTTCCTATTATATTTTCAGCCATGTGATTTGTGATCTTCTGTGTCCTTCAAAACCTAATCATTTTTTTAATATATTCAGAAATCTTTTACACACAAATGAAATTTTGCTCCAATTTGTATATATTCCTCAAAAATATGGTTTAGTATGTATGCCTGTGATTTGTAGTATCCCAAATTGCCTATCAAGAGAGAAGAATGGGGTATTGCAAAGTCACATTTAGAACTTTATTCATATCAACCTTGTCAGACATCTTGGATTTAAACATTCAACACAAATTTAAATGTGCTTGAGTCTTTCCCAGTTTGGATGTAAACATGGGGCAGGGGAAAAGATGAAAATATTCTGTGGGAAAAGGTTAAGATAGAAAAAGACAAATGGGGTGGACAGAATAGAAAGGGTTTAATTGTCTCTAATGAGGCAATTTTTAAAGTGAAAGTTGGTTTATTCTTGACTGCAGAGCCAACAGCTACAAGATGTGTGAGCCACCAAAAATTCATAGGTTCCCTAGCTAAAGATCATTACTTAAAGCTTATCACTAGCCAAACCTCAAATCAAATGTTGACTGAAGGTTAGCTAGTGATGAACTTTAAACCTTGTCCCTTATTCTCCAATACCTCTGTCTTTGAGACCTGAGAGGCTATGAGTTTCCAGCTTGTGGGCTAGCAGAAGTAGGATAACCTTGGATCCATGCCGGGGGGGGGGGGGGGGTGGGTCCTTCCGTTGTGGGGGAGAAGAAAGAGGGAAAACCTGTGGTCCCGGGGGGGGGGGGGGGGGGAATTTGGCTCTTAATACGCTCATCAGTGTAGCACATTAAAGCTGAACCATTGCTGTTGATAATGTAACATGGTCACGAAGTGTTCACATCAGTAATATTGTCAGACGTACTGCATATTGTGAAATGCTTTGCCATAGCAGAATGTTTTGGGTAGATCAGATTATTTTTCACATTAGTCTTCCATTTCTTAGGATGTACCAAATGTATATAACTGTCTTCTCCCCTTATATCTTGTTTACCTGAAAAGCTAGAAATGGCATTGCAGAGTCTTTCATCCTCTCCAGCCATCAGCATTAAACAGCGGCAATTTAGCCTGTTCCTAATGGTTTTACAACAGTGCAAGTGAATAAATGAACATTATCAAAATCCTGTTGGATTATGGTTGGGGATGTTTTATTTGTTTGTTTTCCTTCAACCTATGCAGTCCTCTTGACTCATTTGTAACAATGTGTGCTGGTATAATCTTACAATTTATAGAAACATGCTTAGATAGAATATTTATTACTAGGATTTTTAGGTAATGAGTTGAATAGATTTGCTTTGCTAGTGAAAGCAGAGATTTCAAGGTAATAGAAGTGTAAATGTGAGCAATTGCATGTACACAGACAGAGAGGTTGTTTCAGAACCCAGCTTTCAGAAGGAGGATATTTAGATTAAAAAGCTTGGAAATATTTGCTGATAAAAATTACATCTTTCCTGTTTTTCCATGGAATGTCATTGACAGTAATATCTGTCAGAAGGAAGAAACTTCTTTTTCTCATCAGAAAGCCATTCCCTTAATAGGAGTCAAGTTTAAAAAAACAAACAAACAAAAAAACCTAGCAAAAAAACCCCAGCAACAACAACAAAAGCCCTACAGCCTTCAGTTCTGTGAATTTTCGCTGTTTCTCGGTTGGCTGCAGCGTAGGTGAGGGGCAGGTTATTGTGATAGCTGATGTGTGGGATTCTGTTTACAGTTCTCTGACACCATCCAGTGGCAGGAGGTTAATGTTAGAATAGTGGGATTATTTATTTGTTTATTTTATCGTCTACTGCAATAAGATGATACCCTTTGCAGATTCTTAAATGTTTCCAGTGTTTTCTGAATGTTCAATTTTAAAACTCCTACCTCTGCTTTCAGCAGAATCTCATTATAATTTCTGTATTCTCCATATATCTAAAATACTTATCACAATAGGATAAAAAGCTATCATTAAAAGAAGAAAATTACAGCAAAGGAAATGCTTGCTGAAAAATATGTTTAGTTGTATGGCCTGCCTATAAAACCGTATTTTATTTAATGAATACAGAGTGTACCCTTACTCTTTTGACTGCAGTGAGATTTTTTTCAGCTTTCATATTTTCATTTGTCTGCATAAACTCCCCCCTCCCTTCTTAGTGGACTGCGTTTGGTATTGATTTTGTAATGCATGTTAGACAAGTGGTGCGTAGAGCAATCAATGCAGTGCAGAATAGATCCAATGTATTGTTCCCACTCTGACCTGTTAGTAAATTAATATTGGCCACTTAGTGAAGAGCAAAAGTTAGTTTTAAATATGTGGCTATCACAAACAGCATAATATTTTTCTCTGTGGGAAAATTTCCAGGAAAATTTTTCCCTCTTTACACTTTTTTCTCCTCACAACACCTTGTCTTGTAGAATCCTATTTGAGAGATCAGTACAATCTTGAATGTTTTAAATGTTTATCGCACTTGTATCTAAATAATAGATAAAACCTTCAAGACTTGATGGGAATCGCTGTACAAATGTGAGGAACTTAACAGAGAAGAGAACCTTCATAATGCCTTTTGACTTCCCTGTACAGTTCTGTACTGGCAATTAGCAGCTTCCACATTACGTTAGACAGGATGGCTGAAAAAAAAAATCAAATATTATGCTCTTTTTTGCCCATAATCTTTTTTCTCTAGGAAAAATCCTGTACAGTTCTGATGTTACTATGCAACCAAATCCCCCTTCTGTCAGAGATTTCAGATGTCTTTGACCTTCCTACACAAGTCCCACAGTGTGTCCTCTGAATATCGATGGGAAGCATGACCTCTTCGGCCAGTGCTTTTAAACAGCTTTTAAACATTTTAAAATGGGGTCCCCCATTCCTCTTCCAGACACCTGCCTCTCCTATCAGAAAGTGCTGGGGCCTGCTGCGACAGAGATGGCTTTGGTCTCCTGCAGTGCTGGGTGTGGGAATCCTGACTTGAGCACGCTGATGAAGCAGACTTCTGAATTTCTCTATGTCTGTTGTACAATTTCAGACATTTTATTAAAGTCTGCCAAAAACCCAAAATTACCCTTTAAAATGAGCATTCTGGAAGTTGCATAGTAAAGAGTATGCTCCTTGCTTGTTTAATAATTAAGGGTATAATTAGTGTACAGCTCCAAATATAATTAAAATTCATTTTGCTAGGTCTAGGAATTACAAACTAATTAAGCATTTTGACATGGCAAATAACAAGGAACTTGATTGGGAGGGGTGGGGGGCTAGAAATGACCCTAAAGAAGATCAGCTCAGGGTCTTGTGCTTGTGACTAGCGGTGTGATCCCAAAGTGTGGACTCTGCTTCCTCAGTAGGATGTCTGACTCCACGTTCTTCTGTGGTGCAGAACATATCAGTGATCAAAGCTTTGGAGTATTCACATTTTCTGTTTGTCTTTGTTTTCCATCAAGGAAGAGCTAAAGTAAAGGGGAAGGTGATGCACTTGTGTTTTATACAAGTGAACAGTGTGAAAAACATGCTTTCCTGAAATATCTTTTTTAAATTTATGGTTTTTTCCTTTACTGTGCATGTAGTCTGTTGACTAAATTTGAGCTTTTTATGTACAAAATGGAGCACTTGTACAGTATGGCTGTACAGTCTCCTTCAACGTGGGATAATATAGTGCAGCAGCAGAGGAGGGAACGGTGTCATGCCAAATGCTTCAGAGCTCTCGGTGTTCCCCTCTTCTAGCAGAAATGCAAAAATGTGTATTCAATAGCAGATTTTTCAGTATTACCCAAACCTTTGTCCCATTTTGTAGCTTTCAGTTGACATGGGTGAATTTTAGTTCTAGTTGATTCACTGACTGCTGATTAGCTGTAGCTGATTGTTGCTATTAAATGCGTTAAATCTTCTAAGTGTCTTAAAGGCCTGATACGTGATCCACTGTCCGCTGCTCTTGCTGCACGTCCCGACTGACTCTGGTGGATGTTGGATTGACCCGGTAATCTTCCCAAAGCCCCTCTTGTGGATGCAAGTGCAATTATCAGATTGCATCGTCTGTCAAAATTGTCATTGCAATTAAGAGTTCCTTCTTCTCAGCTCAGTCCAAACCGCTCGTTGAATCTGTTGTTAAACTGAAATGATGTGTAGTTTGAAGCATTAACTGCTTTTATAGAGTTTTAATAGAAGACGCTCATTATTCATTAATATTAATTACTAATTATAGTCAATGTTCTTTTTTAGGAACAAATGTTCATGAAGCCCAGCGTATTCTGAATGAAAGTGGACTCCCCATCACGTCTGCAAATGACCTTGAGGATGCAGCAAAGAAGGCAGTGGCTAGTGTGGCCAGAAAATAACAACTTGAAGATTACTCTCATGGAAGGTGTGTGTGTGTGTTTCACAAGATGTCATTCCTGTTGTTATTTCAGAAAGGATTAGCAGAGTTTTTCTAAGCAGTCATCACTGTTGGTGGACTTAATTTGTAATACATGGCAAACTCAGGCCATAGGCTTGCAAGTTAGGCTTCAGAAATTTTGCAGCTACGTTCTTGAAAAGTTTGTATGTCTTCATCTAATTTTGGTAATTTTGTTGTTCAGAACTGTGATAAGTAATACTTCACTTCATAAAGCTCTCTTTCTGCTTTCCTTCCAAAATTGTCACTGATAAACTCACAATAAGATACAATAATTAATAATTGACTTCTGTCAACAGAATTGTTCTTTAATCAAACACAGGTAGCTCACCTATTGCACAATATTTTCATTCTTTTTTTTTTTATATTGTAAAGAGTCAGCAAACTAATAATGAGTTTATATTTTTTATGGACTTTTACAATAATATAAAAAATTGTGCTTACAATATCTATTTTTATTCAAATGAATAATGTTTACTTTCTTTTTTAGAAATCACACATTTTGCCTTAAGGTGATTTTCTTTTGTAGATGCCAAAGTATACCTCGCAATAGGGAAAGGGATTGAATAGTTGGTAATGAAAGGACCTTCCATTCTTATACTGTGCCTATAAGCCGGTGCAATGTGATTCATTTTGTTTTCTAGTTTTTGGAAATGAGGTTCAGTATTTCTAGGTGTAACAGTGCCATACAGAGCGCTCTTGGAGGATGTGTCTGCCAGTAAGAAAATGGCTGCTAACTTTTTTAAATAACCTCTTTCATAAGTATGTCACTGCTGTGAGGTTTTAAAATGAGAACCTGAAGCAGTTTTCTGTCAGGAGCATGCAGTATTCTTCAACTGATTTAACTTCCAAAAAACATTTCTGATTTATTGGGGATAAAACACAAATGAACTTTTCCATTTCTAAAGTATTTGATTTCTCAGGCAGCAGTAAAAATATGTACAAGAAAAAAGAATATAAGTTTCAGTACTCAGATATTGACCGAGATTTATTGTGATTACATATTCTTTTGTACCAGTCAAAACTCAAGCTGTTAATTACACAAATTATTCATTCAGGGAACAGAAGACAATACCAAATGGCCTGTGTAACTAAAGAACTCGGTACAAATCTCACTCAGCCCAGGAATTACATGCTGAAAATCATCAATAAATTTGAACAGTGAACAAATGAGTGGATATTATGATCTGGTGTTGTAAATGGGCAGAGAGGTAAAAATTTGTCTAATAAATTCTTAATTGTGATTTTTGAGCGGCTCTAATCAATACCGTGTTCTACTTAGAAAAATGTAAATAAATTTTTCCTGACATTTCCATTAAAACTGTTACATTCAAAATAAATTATCTGCACTAATCTCTGGCTCTTGACACAAATAGTATAGATAGGTTGCTATCATCAATTACTGTAGGTTTTTTCTTCTCCATTCCTTTCTCTACATATTACTAAAGGAAAAAATGAATGACCATTAGAATAGCAATAAATATGCCACTAGGTATGCACTTATTGACTGAATGAAGGAGAAGGGTATCGTTAGCAGTTTTCGTGAAGGTGCATAGAAGCACACTGCTTTGAAGGAAGAAATGTTTACCTCACCACAATAAATAAAAAAGTCACACTCTATTTTCTATATTTTAATACTGGAAATAGAAGCATTCTGTGGAAGAACTGTTTATGCAATGTTGTCGCACACTGTGTATCTAACTTCTGGTCTGAAAACCGTTCATTGTGTGTGTACATGATTATTATTCTGCAGAGATTAACACTATGTACACCATTTTGTCAAATAAATGTAAAAATGAACCCATTTAATGACGTTGTCCCTTCTATAAAATAGAAAATTGTTTAATTGGTCTATTATATTCTGTGATCTTCCATTCAGCATTTTGTTACAGGTGGGTGAAATCAAATGCATAGGAATTTAGTTTCAATTAAGTAATATTGGAATACTCTTATATACATGCTTTTTATCTAAAAAAGTAAACCTTTTTGTCTCTCTATCTTTTCTTATACGTAGGCTAATGACAGTACATACAAGCTTTATTCCCTTAAGCCATATACAGGATAGAACAGTATAATTTTTAGTTTTCAGATGTCATATGGAAAATTTCATAAGCTCTGGGTTTGTGTTTTTGAACGTTTGGTGTTTCACTTGAGCCAGGGCACTGCTCACTCTCTGTACCCAGAGGCTCTCTTGCTGTGTCTGGCTTGCTTGGTGTGGGCTGGTTCGGTTTTATCTGCACGGGTCATTTCTCTGTGTATGGAAATGTGTAAAGTTAGTCTTGGTCTCCCTTGGACAGGCGTTTTAGTTCCATTTCCTGTGCTTTGAGCTGTTATAAATTGCAAGTAAACGCAACGCCTAGAAGGGATGCTTTTGTCTTTGCTCAAGCATGCGGAGTCGCAACATGGCACGAGTGCGGTTTGCTGTCCTCAGCAGCTGTCTACCTGATGGCTGCCTCCCCGCCTCGGCGGGGCTGGATGCAAGCTCCGCTCCAGCCAGCCTGTTACAGCTTAAACCGACAAGGCACATACATGAGAATTGCCCCTCCTGCAGAAAGCGAACAGCAGTGTAAGCAGCAGGTGAGTTCCAGATAATCCCCTTTGTGAAAGTTTTAAGTGGGATTTAGTTAGCCTTTAAATCTTGACATTTCAGCCTGTATTAATAAAGCTCTGTAGGACTGGGCACTTAGAAAGGAAAACAGGAGGAAACTGTTAATGCTGACATTGTGTTACATCTTTAACAAGGCACCTTTAAATTCTCACAGTGAAAGTGTAACAGCTGGGAGTTCTGGAGTAATGTTCTTAACGTGCGTTTACTATCCCATTTGTCAGACCTGTTCTTCCCTACATCCGGAAAAGCAGCTGGTATCATGCAAAATTGCTGTGATTGGAACAGCACGTCAGCGCAAATCAGTCACCAGATGAGATCCCGAGCAGGGCTGTCCCTCCGCAGCAGAGTCTGCTTCCCCAGTCGAGAGCAGCGCTGTGCCACTTGCCTTGCCCTCCAAGCTGAGCCTTGTCTGGTGGCCTTGGGGATTTTCAGACTGGGACCCTACAATAACCTCCGGTGATTATTATGTGTTTGGTTGGCCCGGATGATTCCCTTGTGCTGAGAGCTGAGCGCAGCCCTGGCTGGGTGTACTAAGAGTGGCCCGAAACACAGGTCTGAGCAGCCTCGCTGGGCTAGAAGAGCCGGGAGGTCTGTGCGCACAAGGCTAGGTGCTGGCGAAACCATGTCCTATAATAAAAGCTGTCAACGTAGTTACAGAAATCCAAAAACCTCCTGGGCTTAGTGCTTTATTACATGACATGAAAAATGCTGGTACTAGATGCTGCTGTAAGCCTCTGAACTGATTGAGAGATTTCATGCCTTGTTTTTCTTTTTGCTGCCTTTCGAAATTTGGAGTTTATTTTGAAGTCAAGGTCAGCTCTAGCAAGGGGCAAGTGGGGGAAAGCAGGTTGTTGCACATTTTGATTTATCATCTCAGATTCTTTCCCCTTCCTCTACTAAATTTCCTGGGTTTTCCCCCACTTTTCCACCCACATAGCTCATTCCCTGTGCTTCCTCACTACTTATGGTGGTGTCCTCAAAACTGGCAGAGTCCACACCGCTGGGTTTTGCCAGGTTTGCATGGTTGGGCTGGCTGGGCTGGAGCTGGATGCGTTGCGTGAACATCCAGCCGCCTGCCTGGGAACTGGGTGTGCTCTGGTCAGCCCATCTGCCAGCGCCAGCCTAACACAGTCCTACCAGCAGGCATCAGCGACTGGGTGCGGCAAAGCCATCCTAGAGTCCTCTCAATGCCTCTTCCTACCTGTCCATTGCTGTCCTGGGAGGCTAAGGCCTCGACCTCCTGCGTTCTTCACTCACTTCTAGACAACAGGAATAAACGCAGGAGCAGAAATGGGCTGAGGAGCTGTTTGACTTGCTTGTTCAGGAGTGCTGGGCTCTGAAATGGGGCTGTGTTTTCTGAAAAGTTGTAGACAGATATGTTCATAAGAGGTGAGAGAGTGAAAAGCATGGGAAAGCTTGACACGCATGTAAAGGGCTGCTTCAAAGAGAGAAGAAATACTCTTCTTCAAGGAGAAATAGTCTTCCTCAAGTCCAGTGTGGATAGGACAAGCAGTGAGGAGCTTTGACTGTGGTAAGGGACATTTGGGTCAGACTTGTAGCCACCAGGTAAGCCAAGGAATGGGCTGTGAAATCAATGGGTGTTTTGTAGTTAGATGAGCATCTGTCAGGGATAGGTTAAGAGTTGATCTTTGCCTCAGGGCAGAGGGATGGATGAGGTGACCTTCCAGCCTGATCTGATAGGATTTAATGCTTGTTGGTACAGTTTTGTTTTCTTATTTTCTTCCTAACTTGTAGGTACAGGGTGGAAAAGGGAGGACAGATCCGGTGGGTTCTTGAAAGAAACTGGTTTTGATTTAGTCACAAAGAATGATCTGCAGCTGCCAGGGAAATGAAAAGCAGATTATGCAAACTCAAGACTTTCCCTAACAATGGGAGCAGTGTTATTGCAATGCATAAAAGGCTGAGCAGAGAATTAAGGGTATCTATCAACTTTAATATGTTTAATTTAAAAAGGAACAGGTTGCACCAACAATTTTTTTTCTACTTAATGAGGCCCATTCATAAGTAGAATAACAGGATTTGCCTGTCACCCAGAGGAAATCATGGTATGTGTATTTGTACTTTGGTGCAAAACGCGTGTTGATCGCAGTGATTTAAAACTTTTTGCAGCCCAGTTGCAGTCAGTTTGATGTCGGGATCCTTTCATCCGGAGACAGATACACCCTTGGTAGAATCCTGAACACGTCTGTGTCTTTGTTCAGCCTCACAAAGTACCAGCTAAAGATTAAAAATAAAAGTATACATGGATTATTGCATGTTATTCCTCAGAGATGACTACTATGAGATAAGATCTGACTTATCCAAGATGTGGTAGCCCCCTCCTGCAGACTGCAGAAGGATATTTAATGTATATGTGAATTTTGCCTTTTGCATTTCCCTGTTCTGCCCATGTTTGGGTGCTGAGTGGTGTAGGGACAGTAAGAGTAGAACATTGCATAGCATATGATGCTCTCCGTTTCTTGGGGCCGTTTCTTTTCTACAGGACTTTAGCACTGAAGAGGGAAAAGGTTTTCTGTGTATCTTGGATCACAGTGCCAGGCTGGAGACAGGACTCGTCTCCATTCTGGTGTGTGGATAAACACAGGCTGCTTCTGACAAGCTGCCCTTTCCATGTGCTGTTTACTTAAGTACGAAGTGGCCTTGGTG